ATATATATACTTTTGGGGAAATTGAGGAATATTTTGTATCATAAAAACTTATAATATTTGTAAGTGTTGGGGTAAAAACAGTGGAGAGAAAAAGCCCAGATGAACCCAACATGTCCTGAACAGTTTTACAGAAGTAAAAGATGCAACATGAAGAAATGAAGCAGTTCTTCTCACCTGAGCATCTGTGAGGCCCAGCATGGCAGCCAGCTGCTTCCTGTCCGGTTTGGTGACGTACTTCTGGATCTCAAACCTCTTCTCCAGACCTTTCCTCTGCAGGTTGGAGAACACGGCCCTGGACCACGACCTCTTCCTCTTGTAGGTCTGAGGCATTGTGTCTTTTGTGAGGACAGCGTAGGGACCTGGACAAGGAGGACGGGACATTAAAGCACTGAAGAAACATTTGAAACACATCAGTTTGATTATTTCTCATGTTTATTATTATCAGCTGCTCTCTGTCTACCTGGGAAGGTGTCCTGAAACTGATGCTGGCCTGAGTGTCTGCCGCTGCTGCCCAGTGAACTCAGCATGGAGGACGCGTCCATCCCGGGGTCTACGGAGGAGAAGTACTGGCTGGCGGGCTGAACGGGGACGTGGAGGCCTGACTGACGGCTGGAGCTAACAATGGATGTGAGATCTGTTACAGAGTGAGACATGTGAGCGCACAGGCAAAGCAAGGGCAGCACTGTCAGGGGGCAGCTGATCCTGAACCTCTGACCTCTTGTTAAAGGGCAGCAGGGCTTCTTCTTATCAAGCTATTTTTCACTAACACGTGCAAAATTCTACGAGTTTCTAACTTTTGTTTTTTTAAAAATCATTTATTTTGAGTTGTTTCTGTGTTGAGTATCAGTTGGTTTCCTGCTCACCTCTTAAAGATGACTTGTCTTTGCACTTTGGATCAAAATCTGTGGATAAAATCCGATCGATTCCAAATTTGAGGTCCTTGCTTGAAGGCGGGGGGGCGTGCTGGGAGCTGAACGACGACCTGGGCACCGAGGTCAGCTGCAGTCCGTGTCTGTGGTACGCAGAGGCCGGACTCAGCCTGGCCCCGAACACCGGCGGCTCCGGAGCGACGGGCGCGGGGCGCAGAGGGGAGCCGCCGGCCTGCGGCGCGCGGTGGGCCTGGTGCTGGTGGTGTCCCATGTGCACCATGAGGGCGGACGATCCCGGCAGGTGGTCCGCATCTCCGGCCTGCAGAATGTCCGCGATGCAAAACGACGGTTTCTTCACGGGGTCCACGGAGAAGCCCCCCGCGCAGTACGCGGACCACAGGCTGAAGTTTGACGCGTAAAACGGGTTGAGTCCGGCCGTGTACATCCCGGAGCCTCTGACGGTTAACTCTCAGAACAGAGCGGGAAAAACATGTAATAAAAATAAARATAAAATCATAAAAACCTTGGTTTATTTTTTATTAAATTTTGGAGCTCCGGTCCTCTGTGTGGAAATGTCCAAAGCTCTCTGTCAGCTCTGAGAGGCTGGAGCCCGCAGCTCCGCTCTGAAGTTCCTCCGCTGCCGCTGATTGGCTGCTGCCTCAGCCAATGGACGCGCTGCGTTTGCTCTCATCAAATTAAGTCACACACACACACACACACACACACACACACACACACACACACACAC